TTGTTAAATTCAAATCAGTCGAACAATCAATGCACTGTAATGAATCAATAACTATCAAAGGTCAGTAGGTACGAATGGATAGGATCTATCTGTGTATTGCTTTGAGCCCTTACTGCTTTTTTTCAACAAAATAAAAGGCAGTGATGTGGCCTGATGGACGATGCATGTGCACTTATGAATTTCTTTTTGACATTATTGTGGAATTTAAATCTAGTTTGTCATTTTATGATCCAGCCTTCCTAAATATTACAAAATTGAACATTTCTCTCAGGTGAATGGACCACAGATTGAAAATGTAAAATGACTTTCATTACAGACATGTCAATATGTCACTTGACTTGGTGAGCAATCTACATAGTAATTCAACACATTTTGCTATCAAGTTTCATTCTTCATTCATTTTATGCTTCTGTTTTCTGCTTTATGGAGCAGCATAATGACTTCTTACATGTTGTATTTTGTTTATGCTTGTGGTCAATTTTTTGTATATCAAGTTAACACCATGTGTGCTACTGGCTGTAAAGCAGCTGCTATGAGTTCAAAACATCACTACCCTTATAGAACAAATACAAGTATGTTGACGGTACCTTGCTTCAGTGTTATCAAATGAAATGCATGGTGGTTTGATGCACCTTGGTGAAGAGCACTACCCTTAATCTTGAAGAGCTATCAACTAGGGATCTTTCAGTCTGAAAAGATGTTAACATGGCTTTAGGGGCTTTCGCACCAGAGGAACCTTTTCATTGTTCCTAGAACTACTGGCGAAAGTTACTGGATGTCGGCGTGTTCGCACCGCAGGAACTAGGAACGATTTTATTTCTAGGAACTCCTTTTGGAGGAACTAATTTATCTCCTACTTCAGAGTAGTATCTAATGGTGCGTTCACGTGCTATGGAAAATATGGTATTTACCAGTGTGTTGCGTTCAAGTGCTTTTGTTGTCGTAATGTGGTAAAAAGATGGAGATCCAGACCTGTTATTTAGCTAAAACTATTTTAGATTGCTTAAGTCATCTGCTACAGCAAGAAGATGATTTATCAAACCTCAAACGGTAAATAATATGCTGTATATTTTCTAGATCATGAATAGTATATATTTTTACCATTCACGACTCTCGCGTTGCTCTCCGCCATTTTGAAAAGGTCAAAGGTTATCTCATCTCGGCAACTCGTGCATCAAAATATTCTACGAGCTGCCCAGTGGAAAATACCACATGAGGGGGGTGTTCATGTGTATTTTCCACGTCGGCTTTTGGTATTTACCATAATTACCATAGCACGTGAACGCACCATAAACAGCACTATAGGAACTATCCATGACGTTAGTGTACGCGGATTGGCCGAACGCACGCGAAACACCAGCACCCCCATTTTTAAAAAGGAGGTAGATGATGGACCTTTACGCTGAAGAGAAAATCCAACGCAGCCAAACATGATTATTCTGCTCAGCTAGCAACAACCTCATGGCATACGCTAATACATTTGCATACTGTCTTTCTATGTATAGGCTAACAGTTCTATCTAATAATGTATTAGACAGGACTGTTAGACAGATCGTAAACTAATGAACACGGAGAATGCGAGCACTGTGTTTTAAGGCTCTGCCGTTCTCAGCGCCGTCAAAATAAAGGTCCGCCGCGCCGTCAAAATAAAAGTCACAACAACAAGCGTGGCTTACGTCACTTCAGAGTTCCTACTGGCGGTGCGAATGCAATCAGGAAAATGTTCCTAGGGGAACCATCCTGGTGGCTACTAGTTCCTAGAACTATCTGGTGCGAAAGTCCCTATTGGCAGCATGAAATGGGAAGAACCGCAATCACCCTTTAATGCCCGGGACACATTGTATGATTTTGGGCTGTCCCAGACAAAAGATGACCAATTGTGGCAAACTCTTTCTTTTGTTTGATTTTGCAGTTGGCTGTGGCAGATACACAGAACAGTTGTGATCTTTGACTAATGCTTGCTTCGGCTTGTCTCACTATGTGAGCTGCCATCAATTTAGCTTTATGATGAAAGAAATTGTTTGTGAAATCTCAATTTTTTTCCAAATACTGATATTGTGGCACAAGGTTGTAGGCTTTGCCCAGGGTTTGTACATATTGGTATGTGGAATGGGGAAATTGGAACAACAAACCAACAAAGTTTGTTACTAGAATGCAAACTGTACATACACTGCACTGACAGGCTTTACTGATGTATGCTTTCATAATGGCAAAAATCTATGACATCCACAGGGTCACAGGCTAATTACAATTGATTACTTTGAAAAGATGAAACCGCATTTGTGTTTGTTTGTGTGGGTGTGTGAGTGTTTTCCTTCCAGTGAATGTTGGGAATGTTATGACTGTTCAGTGTTTGATTAACATTAGCTAATTCTTAATTTAATCACTTTCAAGGGGAAAAAAGCCTGTCACTTTGGTGGTACCTGTCCTTTTTTTTTACCTAAATGTTACCTTTTTAAAAGGGTTCCACCCAAGTGACATCTTTTGTATCTCTTTCTCTGGGAGTGTTGGAGTAGAGATGCACAAAGAGATTTTCAAAGGTTCTTCTTCAGTTATTTTCTTTTTCTATAGTATGTTCTGCTTGACTAATGCAGAGACAACTAGAAATAAGCCATTAGTGTCTTTATTTACTGAAGAGTATAAATACTGGCTCTTTCAAAATTGCTCTAAACCAAAAGAATGGATTTGGGGCAGCATCTTCTGGCCCTGTCCCAAATGCCGTCCGAGTGTGTCCCTCATCTGATTTCACTCTTTGGTGACCTAATGCTACATAGGCTGTCAGGTAGTAGTCTGCTTTGGAGCCCTGTGGTATTATAGTGCATTAAAAAATGCATTGAGTGTGCGCAGCAGTCACAAAAGTGGCACTCGAGCACCCTTCTAAATCCAAATATTAAAGGGGTCATGAATTGAGAAATAAAATTATCCCTGATTTTTTTTGACAAATAATATCACTCTCAGATACATCACCAATTTGTTTCTGTTCATAGTGTAGCAAAAAAGGAGATATAAATAATTAATTACGAATCATCATGATTAATTGTAAATATTTGTATCAGCTTTAAAATGTATAGCAAAATGTACATCGCCCAGAAAATATTCAGTGTATATCTAAGCAATGTCATTTCCCTGGCCAGGAAAAATAAATGTCTTACTGTTTACAGTACTATTCAGAGCATGTAGCAAGATTGGATAATTTAAGGGACATTAATATTGTAAGCAGTGAACACTCAACAACCTTGACTGAATGTACACCAAAGTTTTTTTAGTTTAAAATTGTTAACTATTCTACAGAAGCACAATAACTAATCTAAATATAAACACATGCAATATCGCACACATACACAAGTAAACCGAAAAGTGAATAAATGAAACTTAGAAAAAATGCATGGAATGAAGCTATGGAATTATGGAAATGCAAGAGTCAGTCAATCGATACCTCAGTAAAAAGTCAGTAGCTTATCTTAAAAACCTTTGTTCAGCAAAGGTTTAAGTGTAGTATTGCCTTTAGCTGTTAAATCAACATCCAGATACAGTGTATGAAAGTTAAGGATTTTTCCCGGAGTTGGAGATTCTCGAGTGAGGGAGGTAGTAGTGAAATTTGCCTTTGATTCTTCCAAAGGTGAGGAGAAGAAAGGCAAACATTGGAAATGTTATTCAGACTTGATATTTTCTGGTAGTCTCACTCTGTGTTGGAAGGCTCTTTTACAGAGGTCACACCACTTGAAGGTGGACCAGACAATCCTAAAGTGCCAATTTGTGTAGGAATATATATATATATATATATATTTATTTAAAATCCTGAAATAAAGCTTATTTGCATAATCGGAGTGGGCTGGCAAACTGAGTATAATTTAAGTTATGAGGAGGACATGATATAAATCAACAATAAAAAAATATAAGAGAGGATTATTGTGATGAGACATGCTATATATTGGGTTTCATTAATTAATGGTTTGATTATAAAGCATGCATACAACATTATACATTACAAAATGCAGTATACAAACATATGTATTAAATTATTATTTTATATTATACGTATATATCTATAATTTAATACATATGCTACATATGATATATCTGATATTAATATATACAATAACTGTTAAAGATCCCTTGTGGTGAAAATCAAGTTTTTAATGTTGTTTATATCTGTCTATGTGGTGTTTTTAATATGCTTTAAGAAAAAAACATGTGCAAATTCAGGAGTAAACGCCATCGCTGAGTATTTTCTCCTTAAAACTGCAGTGAACCAAAGACAGTCTCAAAAACACTGTTTGAAATCGCCAAATCAAATATGTTGTAACCAATATGGTCAACGTTCATGCATTAACTATGCTCTGAAGCAGGGGAGCCTCAAGAGAAGCCAGGTCATCCCGGTATATTTTTTTTTCTGTAGATTTGAAAAATCGGGTACATTTAGCAATATAGCGTTTTAATTATCTATGTGATATATATTACGACGTTATGATGAACTATATGCCTTTCTCCATTGATGTTCTGAGTTGTTCAAAGCTTTTCTAAAGATACTGATTTTAGAAGGCAACTGTCTGACTCTGAGATGGCGAACAAGAACATGTTTTTTGTAACATTAGCAACACATTATTAGCTATTTGATAACCCAGTCAAGCAAAAGGCTAATCAAATGAATTGCCGTTATATGTCCGATGTTGTAGAGATTACCATTCTGATACATCGACTTGTAGATGACCCTGTATGAGTGAGTGGAGGTGGGGCTAATTTGCATATGGATCTGTGTATACTAAATGAAGCAAGGGTGTAGAGTTACATTCAAGCTATTTTAAGGCATGAAGATTTTTTTTTCACAAGAAAAACATTTAAATATGTAATTTTAATGATCAAAGATGAGTTTTAAGGGATACAATTATTGACTAGAGGGGTACTGTAATGCTTAGAACCTTGTGAAGTGTCTACCAATTTTTCAATGATCATGTATCTGAAAAATGGACTTTACAAAACCTTTCTTTCCGTCTTTGCAGGCCATAGGGAGTGCAACTAAAGATGTCCGATAGTGTCGATATTGAAGAGAAACCACCTGCCCCCCCCTTGAGAATGAACAGTAGTTCCCGTGACCCTTCCTCAGTACACAGTTCCAAACCACTTCCAATGGCTCCAGAAGAGAAGAACAAGAAAGCCCGTCTCAGGTCCATCTTTCCCGGGGGAGACAAAAGTAAGTGCACCCAGTTGTCCCACACAGAATTAGTTTTCACTTTTTTTTTTTTTGTGCTTTTTGTGGTGGAAAATATGCGGAATGTATTTAAATATGGAAAAATGCTTAAAGGTGCAAAACGCAGGTTTCTCAGAACTACGCCCCCTCTGGCGACAAGCGAAACTGCAACCAGAGTTGTGCACGCTCATAGACCACACGCACACGCACGCATGCACGAGCTGTTCATAACTAAAAGAGCATCTGCTGTACAGATCTTTGGTGTACAGTACAGCCAAAATGTCTTCAGAGGTAATAAAGTTATAAATCTGCAAGTCATTTCAAATATATGGAAGGAAAGACATTTGAGTAAATTACTCTTATGTGTGAGGGGAAAACGGGGGTAGTAGAAAACTTTGTTTATATGTTTACTGTATCCACCTATGATTGTATTGTTATGAAAACATGTTCATGAACAATATAATTGATTACTTCGCAATAGTTCAAAATAATAATCATACCGTACACGGTTGGTCAACAACGTTCACTCAAATGTCTCAAGGTAATAAACAATCAAATGTCACCATGACGTTTTCATAAAAGCCAAAACAGGCTAAGTCGCCGAAGACTTGCGGGGTTCAGCCTGTTGTATTGATCTGAGAATATTCCAATAACAATACATCCTTTTTCTGTTAGAATTTACTCAAAATTTGTGTCTAATTATCGGTCATATTTTTCAGCATGTTATCCCACTCAAGAATCTTGAACTGTTTTGCTATTCACTAAACTACATGTAGCGCTGATTTATTTAGTAGATATTTTGACAGGGACAATACACACTGACAAACATTAATGTGAAATGTGTCAATACTTGTATTGACACATTAACATGTATTTTATCACAATACCAAAATATTTTACGTTTTCCTCGTTTTGATAGAATACAAGCTCTGACCAATTTGATGTTACTGTGGAGAGAAGCACTGAGGATAGCAGTGACAGCAGTGAAAGGATTTACTATTTACTATTTTTTACCGAAAAAGACAATATAGCCAATGCAACAGCGTTCTTCCTTGTTGGTCCGAACACAATTCCTAGTTTATGAAACTGTTCACTGACAATGGTATAAAATCAATTCTGATTGTATATGTATCTAACTTACGCTAAAGCATTACACATTTTACGCATCGTCATTTGTTTTCATACATAGATTGGCCGTATCAAACATTAGAGACTGGGCTATATCTTACCGTTTTATCAAGAAAAAAGCCAACTGAGGATCCCGTTTAAGACCAAGAGCAGACCGGAGATCTCTCCATTTCCCGAGGTTGACTCTCGTCTTACTCCGACGCCTGTCTGACTCCAATTTGGCCCTTTTGGTGGCACTAGACAAAATTTTTCTTTTTTTTACTTTACGTGGAGTTTGCGTTGGGGTTTGGAATGGACTACAAGCCGGTCTCTTTGAATCCATCTTCTACTTTTGATGCACGAGTTGTCCGCTGATGCGGAGAATGGCGGCGCCGGCGAATACACAAACTTGCTAGACAGCCTGGTGAGCGTGAACGCGCATGACGTCACGCCCAGTCTCAAATTCGAGCCCGAATCCCTCTTATATATTTTACTGTACAGGATTATAGAGGCAATATCAGTAAGCAGAGAAGGGCTCATTCAGCCCATCAGGCAGTTCTTTAAGCATGTATAGGAAGAAAAACAGGTATTTTTAACATGAAAAGTTGCGCAATGCACCTTTAAAGCATAATTAAATTAGCCAAAATATTTAATAAAAACATATAAGGGACAGGTAAAACTTTGCAAATGACCGACCATTATGTTCTGCAATAATCTACAGTTTCTTGCAGTGTACTGTGGGCGCAGATTCTTTGCTGACCTAATAATTTAAAATTGTCTTATTTTTGTCCCCCGCCCTTGAGCCTAAATCTGAACTTAAATGGTTGTAATTCATGAACGCTTTGGACACTCCTTTCACTCAGAATTGTATTGCAGATGTACACTTCAATGAAAGTGTAAAAAGTTATAGAAGTTTCAGTTTACTGTAATTCAAATGTACTGAACTAAAAAAATGTTTTTTCTACAAAATATATATTTTACAAAATAACTTGGATCAAAGCAACATGTTTAACCAAGTTGCCTTCCAAATCGGAAGTTAAGATCATACAAACGTTAGCCCGCTAAAAGGTTTTAAACCACCGTTTTCATGGTAACACAATGTCCAATTTCAAAAAAAATTCTGTGTGTTTAACTTTCGAATGATACCTCATTTATCTTAATTACGAAAATATGTGATATGAAAAAAAGGGTAATAATAAAAGTGCGTCAAACGTCCCACTGCCAGGACACTGACAGTTAACAGGCTAACTAGCTTAACCAGCAAGACTTCCTTGGCTAGTCAGCTTCACCAGCTCCTCCAAACCAGCAATTACCAGTATAATCCACACTGGTTTAAGCAAACCAGCAGAGACCCTGAATGGCTATACTGTACCATTCAAACCGAATGGTACTGTTTTAATGAGCTGATCCGTAAGGTTTAAAAGTGTTTGTTTTTCTATTCAACAGCCAATAAGAAGAAAGAGAAAGAGCGTCCAGAGATATCCCTGCCCTCTGATTTCGAGCACACTATCCATGTAGGCTTTGACGCAGTAACGGGGGAGTTCACTGTGAGTTCACCCAGTCTCTGGGGTTTTAGGTTTTTCATTTGAGAGTCATTGTTTTCTGTGATGAATGGTTCATGCGAATGGTGTCCTTTAATGACATTTGGCATGTGTGTACAGTATGAATATGGCATGTGTGTTTGTTTGTTTTAAATAATAGCATTAGTTATGAAAATCAGAAACTATAATGGAGGATTTTTAGAAAAATGCCATAACGCCAATATTGTTTAGTGACAGAATGTGCTGAAATAAATTTGACCCCTCTATATATTTGTCTAACGTCACACACTTTTTAACCTTTGATTGAACATCATTAAAAATACAACGGGCAAATGCTATATGTAAAATATTTAAATATAGGTCAAATCTAATTCAAATAAATAAAAAAAGGGGGGGAAAGCTTTTCAAAACTATTAAAACGCATTGCACTTGAATGAAAGAATGTGTCCTGTCTGTGTGAATGGCCCATAAAGATGTAATCAACTTCATGTCTGTCACCAGTGCCATAGATTTTAAAGTATTGTTGCAAATTCATGTATTTATCATACATGCAACTATTGTAATCACACAGTATAGAGTGATAGCCATTTCTGCAACTTTAGTTCAATTGGTTCACAAATGTTTTTTTTAGATCAGGGGTATTCATTTAAAGTTCCAGGTCCGGTCTCTAAATTTCCTTCCCAGTGGAGGTCCAGACAATACTTTTTTGGAATAGTTATCAATTTCCACTTGGGCAGAAAATAGTTGGTGAATCAAAGATTAGTATATTGGGCCCTCAGATCCAAAGCAGTGATGTCTGAGAATAATAGTAATAATAAAAATCATCAGTTCAGCCCAATTGGATATGAATATTAAAAGGTAAGATCAGATATTTCATCAGGCTATTATTATGTTTAGAGAGAAATACTGTATGGGGGTTCAGGGTTTCCTCTTGAATTCTGGACCATTTCAGTATTTTGCTTAAAATAAGTTTCTACTAAAAACAAACAAACTATGTAAATAATTATCAAAATGCCCTCATCATGAGTAGAAAACAAAATTAACCAGTAATTTCAAAGTTTAAGTTATCATCTCCAAATGATTTCCCCAGTTATAATGTTGCTTAATGAAATTCTCTTAACATGCTGATTAATAATGCTAAATGTAGATGAAAAAAACGTCTTGTCAAAAAACGTGAATGGTTGGAGTCATGTGACATAAATAATTGTATTTGCGGCATTTTCATTTTCTTTAGTGTTATTTGTGAAAGTATTGATCTATTTTGCTGTTCACTGTGTTTTCGCTACTGTTGTTAATGTGGCGATTTAGCGTCTTTCGCAGGAGAGAGAACCAATGCGCACAGAAATGGTGCTACTGTTGTCATGTCTCGCGGTCCAGTTGGAGCCAAACCAGGGTCCGGACTCCGGAACCGGACCACGATACGCTATTTGAGAACCCCTGGTTTAGAAATTGCTAATAATGTCACAAAGTCTGGTTCAGGGTTCTTACTTTTTCATTTGTGTTCGGCACGTGCAAAAGATGTATGATTTACCAACACATTCTCATCCTTTGGCGTCATTTAGGTGACGCCATATGACATTTCGTCGAAATCTTACGCACATGGCATCCTTTTGCGTCAATATAACACGCACTGTTATGGGTAGGTTTAGGTCTGGGGTAGGGTTACGGTTATGACGCCTTAGGATCTGCGTCTCATATTGACGCTAAAGGATGCCATGTGCGTAAGATTTCGACGAAATGTCAAAAGCGTCACATGTATGACGCCTTGGGATGAGAACGGGCTGGATTTACTTATGTCCATTTTTTTCTATTTCCAATGCACACATAAACAGGGTATTCCAGAGCAATGGGCTCGGTTATTGCAAACGTCTAATATTACTAAGCTGGAACAGAAGAAAAACCCTCAGGCTGTTATAGATGTTCTCAAGTTCTACGACTCCAAAGAGACTGTCAACAACCAGAAATACATGAGCTTCACGTCAGGAGGTGAGGCACACACACCCACTCAAATACACATGCAAATATGGTGGCCCTGTAGTGAAGCTTGACAACCCCTCTGGCTACCCCTGTTGCACAAAGCTTTCTGATCGCAATAACAACTGACTTAAGTATATACATAAAGGCTATACATGGTCATGGTTAGATATTCTCATTTTCTGTAGATTTTAAGTAGGCTGGCTTTTCTTCTTCTTCTTTTGCCAACCCCAAATGAAATCCATGGGCCTTACCTTGAAAAATGTATTGTAACGATGAAATGGTGCCTGTTTTGTTATGTATAGTATGTCTCTATAACTTAATTTGCATGTAATTAGCAGGATTAAGAATTATTTTTTAGGACACATTTTTTTTATAGATATTATATGAAATTCGGTACTTCAAATCATAGTGATCAATTAAAAATCTATTAATTCTTCTTGGTACAACAAACACCATTAAATGGAAATAAAATGATGTGGTGCAGTAACCCTAAAACTTCTTGGAGGTAACCAAGTATGAATATTTGAATTATATGAATACCAAACTTACTATATTAGTATAAATAGCACAAATGGCTCCGTTTCTTAAGAGTGGCTGGACAATACCAAACCAAGTACCTTTAGAATTAGTATTACACTGACTGCAATTGGGATTTGATACATACTACATTTATATAATTATATTTTAAATTAGGTTGCTTGAGTAAAACTCTGACTAATGGATTTTTTTGCTTCCAGATAAATCTGCTCATGGTTACATTGCAGCCAATACACTGGTGAGTGTTTTTGGGGTCTTTTTCTTATTTTGTTTCCCAGTTTGACATTTTATTTCAATTTACCAATTCATCTTCATGAATTAAAGGATTCATGATTCAAGCATCCAGTAATGCCATGTCTGCCCCTCACAAACATAACCGTTAATAACATGGACTAGCTGAATTGCACATTGTCTTTGTAGTTATGTAACCATTATGTATTTTTTGAGCCATTCCTTTGTAACAGATGAAGGTCCAGATTTACTAACAACTTCCTCTAGCGCAAACCCTCTTTTGGTGTTAAAAAACTACTGGCAGGATAAGGATTTACTAAAGACACGCAGTGACTGTAAAGTTAGCGCTGAAAAGGTGTGGACACGGTTATTTTTGCGGCTGGCCTTATTACATATGCATTTGTAGGAGTTTCCCTTTCAGACGCAAAATTTATGGGAGGAGAGTTTTTAAATGAATCATGCAAGGTGATTTATTAAGGTTTGCGCTCGTCAATTTACTGGTGTTTGCACCATTTTTGAACACCCAAAAAAGCATGTCTTAAACCAGATGCTATATTTGCGCTGCTCTTGGTAGTTTGCGTTGGTCATTGTGGAAATGATCCGGCTGCGTCTGTGTTCTTTAATTTGTGCGTTGTCAGTAGATCACGCTCAGAACATTTCGCTCCCATCAGGGCTTTTATAGGATTGCGCTCACGATAATTTGCCCTGTTTAGTAAATCTGGCCCTAAATGTAATCATGACTCAAAGATTCTGTAAAATAAAATTTGCTCTTATATTGTGATGATAAAGATCTTTTGCATCTAGTTAGCTTCGATTCAATATCTTCCCCATCAACTGCATATATTTCTAACATTGATGTTATTGATGGTGTCCTCCATCATTGCCAGATTACTGTGACAAAACTGTTGTGTTGACCTAGATTCAAAGGTGATTTTAAACCACAGAATTAAGCAAACGCATATCTTCAAAATGCTTATTCCTCTGATTTGATTTGCCACCCACTGAAAAAAAGTATTAAGTTAGCACTAAACATGTATATATTATACATGTCTCATAGCGTGTTAAGGTGCTAAAGCTGTGTTTGGTGGGCTATAAGGTATAAACATCTTGACCAAGAGGTTCTAATAGACTCTACCAGTTATTAAGTATACTACTAGTGAACCATGTAGACCAGCTAGACACCTTGCAAGGCCAGCTTAAACTGGTTAAAGCGGATTTTTCCGGCAGAGTGTTACAGTAGTAATGGTCAAGACTAATATAGTATCTTTCATAATGATACTGTAAGTAATATTGTGTTAACAGTAGATGGCATACTGCTTAAATGGAGGTTTCACATTTTATTTTTTTAAAACAATTACATTTTCCGTTGACCTCAGCACCTGAATCAGATTCCATGTCGTATCTGTGTAAATCTGGACATGTTAATTTTCCGTCTTGTGAAATTTCCAAAATGAACTTGGACTGTGTGAAATTCAGGTTATCGTCAATCACATAATGACTGATGCAGAAAGCAGTGGAAAGATTCAGCTTCACAAGTGCTTCATTTTTAAACTTTCCTGCGGTGAGGTGATGCTTTAATTTGGCCCTGTGTGTTTGTGTGTTCGCATTATCTTTTATAGATTTACGCACAAAACAGCTTTTACCGCTTGGTAATATAAATCCAATTCAACATATTTAAGGCTTAAAATTGAGTTGAATTTGGTTGAGAAGAACAGTTTTGTGCAACTCTGCTTATTAGAAAAAATGTGCCTCTACATACATTTTTAGAAAAAAAAGAAAAAAGTAACAAATGAACACTAGGGGCAGTAAAACAAAAAACTTATTTCTTTTAAACAAATTCTGATTACACAGGGGCAATTTATTATTAATGAAGATTAAGGGTACGTATAAACAACAACAATGTACTAAAAACGGAAAAAAAACGATTTTGTTTTTCACGTACAGACGACAACATTGTCAAAACGATCCCCGCTCACACAGATCTGTGAAAATGATTAAAAACGCTATATATTGCTGCCAGGCCAGTAGTTGGCGATTTGAACAAATTCGCTTTTTTTGCTGTTTACTGGGAGACGATAATGGTATCGGTTTCAAAACGTGCACTCTGAAACCCGTTTTCAATTTTTATTTTACACCGCTGTCCTGTAAATTAACGGCCAAAACGCATAAAGGGTTTTCTGTTTTTAGTTGAAAATGGTGTCGTGCAAACGACCCCTGATTTTCGCATGGTTCCTTGTACAATAATATTGTATCACCTCAAAACACCTTTACCATAGTGCATTATTTGTTAACTAATTGGTTGCGGGTGCAAGGAAAAGCTCTTCAGAAAAATAGCTCAAAAGTGCGTAAAAACAAGGTAAAATGGCATTGTTGCTTCAGCTCATCTTTATCTCATCATTTGTTGGGTTTAATGTAGGTGGTACATTTTTTTTTAGAGCATTAATCTTTTAGCATCACTTACCGTATATAAACCAACATATTAAAAGTTGGTGCAATTAAACAAGATTTTTAGCGTCACTCATTGGATATTTGACTTTAAAACTGCCATGAAACGTGCAAGAAGCAACATAATTACATTTTTTCAAAGATGTTGCCACAGGCACACATTTTTCCTGAGCGTGGGTTGATTTTACTACATGAATAACTTTCTTAAAGAGCATTAAATAGGCTTAAGGGCATAGTTTCCACACGTTATTTAGCACGTTAAGTCCAGCAGACAATACCACTCCATTATTCATTAAATATTTTTAAAACATACATTTATGTAAGTATTTAAAGGAATTCAAAACAAAGAAACTTAACAGGAATATAATTATTTATTTATTTATTTAGATAATGTGTCTTCACAGTTATCGGGGAAATCTTAAGCCTGGCTCACACTACAGGAGTTTTAGGCCGATTTATGCCCGATTTTCCCCTCCCGAGAATCGGAGAAAAAATCTTGTCGAGGACCTCGATCGGTTCCGATGTTCGGCACAGATTATCTGGTAATGTGAGGCATTCACAGATCGAATCTTGCACCTCCCGATCTGCTCTTACACAAATCGGGCTCGCCCCGATCATATCAAACATGTTTGATATTTATCGGGATGAGCAAGATTGTGATTACGTCAGTACTGTCACAATAGCCAATAAGTAGGGCTGTCATGGTGAAGGAATTACCATTGAGGTAATTTTGAGTGACTCATCAGCGCGATGCGCGCATTATCTCCATTTATCCAGTTATTGCTAAATAAATAAGCATAATACAGTATAATAAATAATAATAAAATACTAAATGCATAATAAAGGCATCTGAAATAATAAACTAAGTAGCCTACAATCTAGTGTTGTCAAAAATATAGATTTTTCGATATCGATCCTGAACCATCTGCAACTCTTCCGTCTTCCGCAGGATGCACGCGAGAAATGCACATTTCATACGGATTACATGAGCAGAGAGCAGTCTGTAGTCTGTTTTCTTTCGTTTTGAATTGTTCTGTTTAAAAGTAGACATGTATGTGAGGCAAGTAGGCTATCTTATACGCTGAGTTTCGGTTCATTTATGAAGTATCGCCGACGCCTCCGTTTCGTGATTATCTATCGTCTGCTATATTTACTTCTTATTTATAAAAATCCAGGCAATTGGTTGATGAAACATTGTTTAAAATTAAGATACAATTAATACAAAACGAAATTCGATTTAAAGAAAGGTTTTGTGCTTTCTGTTTGATGTCTTTGTGAAAGTTTTAAAGCATATTTTAAAGTCGCTTAGAGCGGTCATGTCCGTAACATTGTTTTTTCCTCAAATGCCAACACGAAAAATAAAATAATATGAATATTTTATGTTCTGTGGAGACTGAGAGCCCTTTCTTCATCCAGTGGGTAGTAGCTACTGTAGGCTATTACTTTGGTTTGCACAGTGTAATTCACAGAATTAGGCCTAGGCCTACACAAAAATATTTTCATTATAAAATATTTATATTCATTATAAAGTTATATTCATTCAAAGATAGGTTAAATGAAACAAGCTGTTAATTATTTTAATTTTAACTTTGAGCTCCACTTTACAATGCTCAGCTGAGCAGCAATGGGCATTGAGCAACGCTGCTGATCATTGTATTGAACAGAGCTGACGCCATTCATTAGAAATATCCTTATTAAAAGGATGATTTTTTTTTAAAGATTTCGCTTTCCTTGGTCACACGGCAACCTTTTCACGAATATGACTTGATATGAAGGACAGATATTTTGTTTACATCCACCTTTCCGCTTCCGATCTGTTGCGTGAGATCACGTGAGGCGCTTTCTCTGGCACGAATCTTAATAACATTGTGTAGTGTGTGATGCGCCACGATTTTCAAATCTTGTAGTGTTAGCATGTTTAAGATTTGAGGTAAGAAAATCTGCAAAGATTCTCCTTAAGTGTGAGCTGCAACCAGATTTCAAAATCGGTTAGGATTTTAAAACTCCTGTAGTGTGAGCGAGGCTTTAGTGTTACAGCATTGAAGCTGAATGCAGTATTATGATATTATATTTTAATGCATTTAAGTGGTTTGATGCTCCAAGTCAGGAAGGCATAAAACATATTCCAAATAAAAATGAGGGTAATTCGCTGTGGCGACCCCTAGCAGGAGCGGCTGAAAATGAGAGCGAGAGAGTAATTTGATAGAAAGTACAGTACTTTCCAGAAAAAAAAAGAATACAAGTCACACCAGGTCAAAAGTGCATTAAGATAATAAAAAACACGGATAAGTTGAATTGTGTATAAGCTGCGTTTTATTACATTCAGAAATAATGTAAAATACTGGTAAATAAAATGAAATGTTTATAATTTTAACTTTTAATTCCACTCTTGCCACAAAAAAAAAAATCCTACAAATTGAATGGTGTACAAAACAGGAATGGAGAAACATTATATACATTATATAAACAAATTAGTGTCATTGATTATAAACAATATTTATTACAGACACCAAGCCCAAACTAATTTAAAGCAAAACTGAATTACCAGCACGTGGGAAAAGCATTACATGAATAAAATTGACATACCTTATCTCGCCTAACAAGCACAAACTGTTAAAGTTAATTTTGAGGAGAGATGAAAGCTGAACCCCACAAGATAAAACATTTCTGTATGAACACACAGACCACTCATTTCTAATATACATCATTTACTTCATTTTAAAAACAAAATTACTATTATTTTGCTGTAAAAATATGTCTGATCTACAGTGTTTTTCTACTCTATCACATTCAAATGTGATGTATTCAAAGTTAACAAAAGGAGGAAAATAAATGTTTCACAAATAAATCCCCGGGAAAAAAGAGAGAGGGTGAGATGTGAGTGACGATTTGGGAAGAGAATCAAAAATGGAATAACTTATTTTACTCCATTAAAATCATGGTAAATCACGTGAGCAGCTCGCAGAACACAATATAAATCCATCATGTAGCTGACTCCAAGTTAGGCTAGACCGATTACAGTTAGAACACTTTTTGCTGTTTACATTACCACAGAAAAAACGCATACAAATATTTATTACAAGCAAATGCTGTTTTATTTGTCTACTAAAGAAATTATGATCAATGACACCTATAAATAGTTCACATTTTTCACAGTTAGTTCACAAACTATTTTCAAATGTTAAAATGCCTTGGATACCATTCTACAAAAATAATTAGATTTCATCTCTTCATTTTTTCTCTCTTCTTTATTGTATAGAATTAGTCATTTCTATTTAATAGAAGAACATCTAAGAGTTAAATAACCCACAGTTCATCAGTAAATAACTCAAATAAGATTAACCCTTGTGTTATGTTGCGGGTCAATTTGACCCGTTTCGATTTTCAAGTTGTTGGAAATACTGGTTAACCTTTGTTTTTTTTCTTGATATTTTGTGACTTTTTCTCATTTATCATGATGAACATGCATGCAAAGTTTCAACATGCTGATGTGTTTTGACATATACAAACAAAATTACTGTTACGTTCGTGATGTTCGCGGGTCAATTTGACCCTCATAGACAGCCATTCAAAAGCAACTGTACAGACACAAAATAAAAACATTTATTTTCTGTATGTCAGGGCACTTCAACTCCAGTTCTAACGTGCAAGTGCATCTAAAAGTGCTCTAACCCTGACCAAACACACTTGAAAAAGCTAAAATTACAGTGTTCAGAATTATTTGCAAATTACAGATGAAAATCTTTGTCAGACACAGATAGTAAAATAAGCTCTCATTTCAATATTCAAAATATCTAAAATACCTAGCTTTTAACCAAAACTTTTATGTAGGATTTTCAAAGGCAGCTTCACAGAGCCAAAAAATAAATAAAAAACATTTATTTGATGTATGTTTTTGTTATGTTTGGTTTCTCACTTCCCAGTGAGTGAATAATGAAACTAGGAAAATAGGTCTTAGGAAACTAGGGAAAGTTAACCTTAGGAAAATTAAAAAATTTCATTATACAGCAATTTTTTTTTGTTCAGTTACGATGTTCAAAGCATAACATGTAAAAAAAAAGTTTAAAAAAATATATATGCAAAAAAATCAGTATACTGTTTATTTTCCAATTTTGTCAAAACAAAACTGTTTTAAAAAATGTTTTAAAAACATTTTCATACATCATATTTTCAGATATAATGTTTTTGTAATGTTTGACAAATGTTGATATTAAAAGTTTATAGTTTGTATCTAAATCTTTGTTGTTTTTCATAGTGTGCTTTTTGAGGAATTGTATTGAATCCAATTAGGGTCAATTTGACCCGGTCCATAAGGGGTGTACACAGAAATCGAACAGAACACAAGGGTTAAGCATTCAAATTAGGAATAGTTTTAAATTGCAGATAAAAAATCTGCTCCCCGTACAACCGTAAAAACAACAAATGACTTTCACTCAATCACTACGCGAGTAATCACGAACATCAGAGTTCAGTTCATGAAAGGACAAGAAGCGATTTCATTTTAAAGAGAGAGGGTGAAGTGAAATTCGAAATACACTTTGTTTGAAATCTTCGGATAAGAAAACCGTACGTCCTTTAAACTTCCCCAGCTAATGACAACAGACAATTTCAAGTTGGCAGTGTAACTTTTTTATGTTTAGTTGACTGCATTTTTGTTTGATGAAGAAATAGGCTGTGCTGTCAAGTTAGCAATGCTAGAACTGATAGGTTTTGTTCGTGTGAATGTTTACGTGCACTTCGGTTGCTTGATGTTATAGAAGTCAATTTCAGATGTTAAAAAATGCAACTGATATTCCAGAAAATACAGTAAGTGGTTACAGCTTTTCATCAGAATATTTTCTCCGTAATTATAGACTACATACAGAAGTGTGTGTTGTGACGCACGATTCAAAGCATTGATTATTTAAGTGTCAGGGACCCTTAAGATGTTCAAATGTCAGTTAAACACTGCCCAGATTAATGTGCGTCTATCTCGCTTCATCTGACATTTTATCTGGCAGAAAATCCGGTTTTGCTGGGACAATTGATCTGATCTTTTTATAAACACTTTGACAGCTTGATTGTTTGGTGACTGTGAACTGTAAAGTGTTGGCAAATGAATGTCCATGTTTAGACCGCAATAATGAAGATGCTCACTCCTTTTCTTAGTTGTATTTTCCTCCTCGCCCATTATTTTCACAAGAGTCTCACCTCCAAGCCACCTTTCTCCTTTACCTTCCTCCCTCCTGTCACACTTTCCCTCCTATCCTCTGTTGCCTGGTTGTAGTGTTTGAATACTCTGTGGGTTTTTTTTTTGTGTCAAGTAAAATATCCTCCCGTTCTCAACCTTATCATCATTCAGAACCGCCTCCTGTCTTCCGGGCCACCTGTCAGCCTTAGAACCTGCAGCGCGTTTTTTGACAAGGTAACACTTCACCTTTATACTGTACAGCACTAAGGAAGCTGCATCATTTGGCAAAGCTAATGCCTCTACTGTGCAGCCATGAGTCAGAGACACTATATTTGGGCATTTGATACCTAAACACATTACTGTACACAAGCTAGCAGGGACCCAACAGCCCAAATTTGTGGTTTTCCACAAGCTAGTTTTTGTAGTCTGTACTTTACTCACTGCAGTGAGAAAAAAATAACTAAAAAAAAATTGAGATCTCACTGGAAACTCAAGGCTTGCCTGGGCTAATCTCAGTAATATCTCTAACACAATGTTTTATTTCTCATCTAAAACGAGAATGAAAATTTAGGTTGGATGCACAACAAAGCTAGTCCATAATACACCAACATTTTAACAAATACCCCATGAAATTGATTGGCGAATGAATTTGTCTTTCCTGTATTCAGGAAATCATTTATTTCCTGTATTAATTGGAATTCTATGTAATGTATTAAGTGAAATTCATCAGTGTTTCTATCTAGGCCAGAGGGTTGCTATCAAGGCATGACTGCTACTTGCTATTGCTTGGCAAGCAGGAGTTTCTTGATTTCATATGAAGTTCATTTTTAAAATATATTTGTCAACTTTTAGGAATTCTCCTATTTTTATTTCTTGGGGTTTTAAAGAGAAAGAAATTTAGGGACCTTAATGTCAATTTAGGTAAATTTGGTATCGTTCTTATTTTTTTCCCTCTGATATTTAATTTCTTTGATTTATACCCTAGTGCTCCATTTAGATTTGCTTGCTAGCTATAAAACAATTGCTGCTTGCCTTATTAAATACTCCCTAAAGTGCAGTTAACCATGAAAACATACAACAACAGCGTCACGTGCATGCAAGTGTGTGTATGTGTGTCTTTTATCTTTCGCCATCCATCTCATACCAACAGGTGCTGGACGCTTCTGGAATCTCTTCCTTATATTTCAGGTTTAGATTTATTTTTTATTTTTTTATGGCCCAAATTCCAGTTTTTAATTGGCAGAGACAAATATGGAAATGCATGTGATGCTTAATTCTGTAAGTGTGACCTTTACACAAATAAGGCTGCTGTTTTAATTCAGATTCCCCTTGTAGAGCATATGGGTTTGTTTAATGCTTACTCTTTAGGAAGTAGTATGCTATGTTTTCAGTTTCAGCTGTTTTAATTCCCATGCATTCTGACAAAACAAGTGCTCTGAATTGAAAGTTCAGATTGTACACTTAAAAATAAAGGTTCTTAATTGGCATTGATGGTTTCATGAAGAACATTTAACATCCATTGCACAAAGGGTTCTTTAGGGAACCCAAAATGGTTCTTCTGTTGTATTGCTACGAAGACCCCCTTTGGGAACCTTTATTTTTAAGAGTGTAGAGATTTTCTCAAGCCAAAGCTTCTTTTAAAAATCCTTTCATAATTTAATCATCACAACATCGCAGCTGGCTTTTAAAGACGTTGATCCCAAACCTCACTTGTGTTGTTGATATGTATGTTTGCACTAAATGGGTTAGATTTTGCTACGTTTGATGATAGTAAATAATAGTAAATCTTTGGGTTTTCACTGGTCCTGCGAGTATCCATTCCATTATGATAATGCCTTTAATAATTTCAGTGCTCTTAGTCTCAGCTGACTTTGTAAAGTGTCTATGGCGTATTTATGAACTACTTTTACTGTAGAACCCTAAACCAGATACACCAATCGGACATAGCACAGCAATAACAGTATAAAAATAGTCCTTTAGCCAAGTCTTTGTCAGAAAATTAAAACACACATGAATGTACATAAAAAGAATAAGCAAACTAGCATAAGGATTAGTAACGCATGTATACTGTTCATAGTATACACATTTCAAAAACACATTTGCAAAATGTGGAGAATGCAATTAAACGCACTGCGCTGTACTGAGTGCACAATGCAATTTGCTTTGTTTTAATGTGTGATGAATGAACCAGATGTAGTTGCAGCAGTTTTGACTCATATTATTTGACAAATAAACCTAAAATGTATTTAAAAATATAACTATAACTGGACAAATTGAAATATTCTTGTTTGAAGCTGTTATTGTGTAGTAATCTCTAATGTTTAATTTTAAATGTGTAAACACTATTTATTAGTATAAACTAGTATTCCATTCCAGACATAGCCATGAACTGGAATAGCCTCAGTTTACCCGGGTCTACTGTGTTTATGATGTCGCCCTCTAGAGGTCGAAATGACTGAAACAAAGTAGTACAGGCCTAACCATGACAGCTTGAATTATATATGTAGAACATTGCGCTCTTGTTTAAATGTGCTAGTTATGAAGGCTACAAATGAGCAGTATATGTGATATTTATTGATTGTGGATCAAGTGCTCAACCCTGTTTGCACTCTACTCGTGTGTGTGTGTGTGTGTGTCTGTGGGAGCGCAGCAAGGGGCTAAGACAACTTCTGAACCTCCTATTGCACCTCCGGTGTCTGAAGAAGAAGACGAGGAAGAGGAGGATGAAGAGGAAGAAGAAGAAGATGAGGATGAGGATGAGGTTCCACCCATCATCGCTCCACGGCCTGAGCACACCAAATCTGTTAGTACAGCATGTTTATTTTGTAGATTAGATATATAATACATTATGAACAAAACCGTGTTTAATAATGTACAAAATTCTAGAGTGAGATGTCAGACTACTAGGGTACTTTCTCAGGAGAAAAATCGGAGAAAAGGGGGAAACTTAGGCTGTGTTCACATTTGGCAGGTTTGGTTCAATTAAGACGAACTCTGGTGCGATCGCTCTGTTAGTGCGGTTCATTTGAATAAGTGTGAACACTGCCATCCGAACCCTGGTGTGCGCCAAATAAATGGACCGAGACCCACATTTTCATTGGGTCCTGGTCCGCTTCTAAATGAACTCTGGTCTGTGTTACATTCATATTTAAACCGCACTAAAGACATTAAATGAACCAAAAACAGGATGTGACACAAGATGCGACCCTTAAAAGGACAGAATGCTCAAGGATACCTGGTTCTTCTGATCATAGGAGCTACTTTGCCCTTTACAGTTCAGTGTAACCGTCAGAACAGCGTCTCCTTGCAGCTGATCTTCACTTGTGTGTGTAAACGGAGGAATTCCTGGTGCTATTTTGAATCCTAAACACATTTTATGAGCTCATCACGAGTTTTCAGCTGGTAAAAATACCACTGTCTGTACCCAATAACAATGTGTGCATTTAGCACACTGACATGTTCGGTAAGTTCCGTCGAAACCAGAACTAATTGTATCATTTTTCATTTTTTGGTCTGGGCCAAAACAACCAAGAGAAACTAACTACAAGTGTGAACACACCCTTAAAGTCTCCATTTAATCTTTGTGTCTATGAGAAACAATTAAGAAATGTATTCAAAATCTCCTTTCATCCCTGTCTGTTTCTCTCTCCTATGCATTTACTCTATCACTGTGTTTTTTGTAGATCTTCACACGCTCTGTTATTGAGCCAGTTGCACCTCCTGCTTCTGTCAAAGAGGTCACGACCCCTCCAGAGTCACAAGTCCAGCCGGAGAACACGTCTAGTACGCTGTACCGTCACACTGACCGACAGAGGAAGAAATCCAAGATGACAGATGAGGAAATACTGGAAAAACTCAGTATGTGGTCAAGCGTGTTGATTTTAGCTGTGCATGTGGTGGTAGAATATTATTTATTTGAACTGTAATAAGATAATATAGCAATATTTGGTTTCATTTTATTTCAATGGTCCACTTTAGGCAGTTTACTAACTATAAGTAACTTTACTTAACTCAACTTATTCTACTAACCCGAACCCTAACAGTCTACTATAGTCTACTTATACTTGAATGAGTGTTAGTTGACATGTAGTTGCAAAGCTACTCATAGTTAGTAGAATCTCCAAAGTGGCCCATCAAAATAGTGTAACCATAACCCTAGCCGGTAACACTTTACTTGAAGGGGTGTACATAAGACTGACATGACACCTTCATAACCATGACATGACATATGTCATGAATATGAAGTAGGGTTTATGCAAGTTTATGACAACTGTCATTAAGTGTCTTTCGCTCAATAATGACATTTTGAATGCAAATATGACATTGTTTAAGATGTCTTTGTTATGACACCTTGACATAAACCATAACATCATAACCTGTCAGTGTCTTTGTCATAACAACTTGACATTAAATTAAGTTAAACTGTCATGTGGTTGGTTTTGACATTGGCTGTCATCAGTCCATTATAATTGTGTCATGAATATTTTTGTGACCTCAACTACAGTGGTACAAATTGAATTTGTCATTAAACAGTTATAATGGCTTCATGACAGCCAATGTCAAAACCAACCACCTGACAGTTTAATGTAATGTTAACCAATAAAGCTAAGTGGTTTCTTAAGTTTGATAATTAATCTGCTGTGTCATGTTTATGACAGGTTGTGTTGTCTTAGTAATGTCAAGTTGTCATGACAAAGACACTGACAGGTTATGATGTATTGGTTTATGCCAAGGTGTCATAACAAAGACATCTCAAACAATGTCATATTTGCATTAACAATGTCATAATTGAGCAAATGACACTTAATGACAGTTGTCACAAACATGCATAAAACTTCCTTCATATTCATAACATGTGTCATGTCATGATTATGAAGGTGTCATGTCAGTCTTATGCACACCCCTTCAAGTAAAGTGTTACCCTTTAGCCTTTAAAAAGTTATACATCTACTCAGAAATCCAAAAAGTATTAGTAATAATATTTCAATGAACTGATACTTCATTGTCAGTTAATCGATGTGGTATGATATGGAAAATTCTGTGCTGTGTTGTAATATTGTTTCAGCCACAATACTTGATATATAATTGTCAAGTTGCTTTAAAGGTTCCCATTTTTAAATGTTCTTCTCCAATGGCAAATAAGAATTTTTTTTAATAACACCCAAGATGATCATTTTTGATTTTTAGATAAATCTCATTCGATACCATTAGGATCCTTTGGAGTCGGTTCCCAATTCGGATCAAATTCCTATACGTATCTTACACACATTTCTTTAGAATTTGTTTTAATAGGAATGCAGATCTGGTCTCTTTTGTGTGCACTCTGTGAATCATTGTCTTTTTTCCATTTGACTCTACACTTGTGATCCAGATTACTGACAGCACTAAGCACTAAAACAGAGATTATAGGTTTTATAACAGACAGAGATTACTGTTCTTACTCTGCCAACAGTACTCCCAACAGACACACTCAAACAGATCTATGTCACTGACCATCATTAACAATTATTTATATTGTTAACCAAACTCATCATGCATCTCTCTTCAGCAGTTACCCGTCCAAAAGCTTTGGTTGTATGCATTTGCTTCTGTGTGCATATAGTCTTACAAGGTTCTCCTCTTTCTTCCAGGAAGCATTGTTAGTGTTGGTGATCCCAAGAAGAAATATACACGTTTTGAGAAAATTGGACAAGGGTATGTTTATACAGTCATCATCTATGTACACACCACACCACACCTCTCATTTCATATTTCAAAGACGTATGGATATGAGAAGATCAAGACTGGTTCAACAGAGAAGAAAGGATAGGAGGGGTTGGATGTCAGGTTTAAGAAGTCAAGAATAAAGTGAGCAAATGAAAATTTAATTCAGACATGACTACAGGCCAAAGAGAGGGAGTGTGTTTTGAGGTCATCAGCTGACCTCCTCTCAAAGCAAGGCTGTTTTCAGATGTTTTCAAAAAAGTGCCATAAAATTACCAAAAAAGTAGCCCTTATGACTCTCATACTGTTTTCCAGATGTTCTAAAATCATTCATCTTTGCATGAGGGTGAGTTAACTTGAGTGGGCAGTTTTTTTAATGTTTCTTAAACATTTATTTTCTCTTTTTTTAACTTTAGTGTACCTGTCGTTTTTTTTTTTCTGTATATTTTTTATTATACATTATTTTCTAAGTTATTGCATTCAATTAAACACATAAATTGGTTTATATTTTCATTTTACCCTTGTGCTCGTGCACAAATGATGTCGGACCTGTACATATTCTTGTCAGTCCCTGTATTCTGAGCAGCAAATACTGCTCCAGGATCAGTCCAATGTGGCTTTACCCTGAATGCACCTGATCCAGTTGCACCCTTGCTCTATTATTTATGCACCCTGATAATAATCTGTGGCCTGATGCCCTAGAAAGAGAGAAAAGATGTGTGTTCATGGATTGACAAAGGAGATAAACAGCCTCATATATCAAGTAGAGCAGCCGTTACTTCAAGCTTACACATGTATGTATTACTCTTATATGTGTGTATTAGATAGTGGGGAATTATACACTGATGACACTGGTAAGATTATGTTAATCTTCATGCATCACATTTTTTTTCAGCCTTGTGTAAATACCCCAGTATACTACTATGATTGTGGGTGTAGAGGTCAAAGGTTAGATATTTTATATCCCTGTAAATTTGTGTTGGTATTAGCATTTACTGTGTGGAGATTAAAACAAATCCATCGCTCACAATAATATTACCACTACCTTGTTTTATTTCACTGCCAATGAGTTAATAATCAAAATAAGCCTTGAATATTATATTATATATATTTTTTCATTTTATTTAAATGTTTCATTTAAGTTTTTTTATGGATATGATTGACACATAACATGTCTATTAATATGTCGAATGTATAAGGGAAATGTATATTTTAGGTTAAGACTGCTCAACCATCATCACCAATTTTTCTTTCTTTATTGCCTTTATTAGTTCATTTTAAATGGTCCTGTGTTGTGAGTGTGACATGCATTTGTAAAAGCACCTTCCAAGCCATGTGAGGTCATTAAAGCTAAATTAGAAAACTGTTGTTTAGCATATCACACAGCAGGACATGTCAACTACCCACCCATATACATGTACATATTTCTTGAGAGGTGATCTCTAAGGGCATTAAGAAATCCAGAGCTGCCCTCTATTGGGCACTGAATAATGGATGAGTCCATGCTAAGTCACTACAGTATAGAAAAGTTTTAACCTGCTTCTCCACTGTGTGTTTTAAGGGCATCTGGGACAGTATACACAGCTATTGACATTGCCACAGGACAAGAGGTAAACCAGATTACGCTTCGATCTGAAGAAAGCCTCCACATTGCCTTCTGCTCTTTGCTGACCTCTCTCCCTTTTACTTGGTTCAGGTGGCCATTAAACAGATGAATCTGCAACAGCAGCCAAAGAAAGAGCTCATTATTAACGAGATTCTCGTGATGAGGGAAAACAAAAACCCCAATATAGTCAACTACCTGGACAGGTACAACCTTCTACAGTAGTATATATTAACTGATTAACGTGTTAACATTTAACAGAGTTCAATTAATGCAATTATTTACAAAAACTATTATTATTGTTTTAAAAACTGCCTTTATTCACTAAGTCTGTGTAAATTGTTCATGGAAGCATTCTCAAATACAGTGTGACAGTTTGGGTAAAATAGTTGTTTTTATTACTATGACATTTTTAGCAATTTGCTATTATTTATGTGGATTTTTTTTACATATTATTTAGTTTTCTGTTCTTTCCTGAAAAGAGAAAATGGACTACAAATGACAAAAATATGTATTTAGAGGCAAAATGTGAAATGAATCACGACAATGGCAAAAACTTGATTAATATTGGTTATTTTATTCTATCGATAGCCATAATGTTAATGTCATTTTGAACAATTTTTTCAAAATATTTGTTATGAATAGTTTTCTCCCTTGGATTTAATGTTTCTACTTGTAGTATTCACATTTTTGTCTTTTTGGATAAAAGCATCTGCTATATGAATAATTGTAAATGCCATTAAAAACTTTAACTTTTTGTCCAACCTGAAATACTGAAAACTACCTATAAAGATGTACTAAACCTTAAATGCAGGTACCGTGTTACTATCATCTAACTTCTCATTCAGTGGTCAGGTTGGTGCCTGTAATCTAAATCGTTTTCATCTTTCTGTCTCAGTTATCTAGTAGGAGATGAGTTGTGGGTGGTGATGGAGTATTTGGCAGGTGGTTCACTAACTGATGTGGTAACCGAGACCTGCATGGATGAGGGACAGATTGCTGCAGTGTGCAGAGAGGTAACATACACACTCAAATTACACTGCGTATTTACACACCTACAGTCTCTGAATTACTATGAAGATCTGATCTTACTCTGTATTTGTCTTCACAGTGTCTACAGGCTCTGGACTTCCTCCATTCTAATCAGGTGATTCATAGAGATATCAAGAGTGACAACATTCTCCTGGGCATGGATGGTTCTGTGAAACTCAGTAAGTTATTAACTTATTTTATAACTTCCTTTTTTTGGTGTGTTCAAACTTATAGTGCAGTTCGCTTGGTCCGGACCAAAAAAACCAAAATTTAGTCCTGGTTCGCTTAGCATTCACATTGGCGTTATAACACAGAACCTAAAGGAATAGCGATATGTGCTAAATGCGCTCGTTATATGTGCATAGCCTACATATGATGGTATTTTGACCAGCTGAGAACTCGTGAAGAGATTATGAAATGTGTAATGGAGTCAAAACAGCATCAGGAATCCCTCCGTCACACACTCAAATGAAGATGTGCTGTGAGGAGACGCAGTTCTGAACAGTAATGGGCAACATCGCGACTGTGACGAGAAAAAACAGGTTTGCTTAAGCATTCTGTCCTTTTTATAATTCGTGTTGTGTTCATATTTCATTCAAACCACACCAGAGTTCATTTGACCTATCTTTTCAGCAGTCTCGGTGCCGCTTGTTTGGCGCACACCAGGGTTCGGGTGGCAATGTTCACACTTATTCAAATGAACCGCACTAACAGAGCGATCGCACCAGGGTTTCGTTTTTAATCTAACCAAACATGCCAAGTGTGAACACACAAATTCTTCAGAAATGTTAATGTAATTTCCTGTTATGCATCAAGACCAACATCTTAACCCCCTCTCTCTTTGTTTCTAAAGCGGATTTCGGGTTTTGTGCTCAGATCACACCTGAGCAGAACAAGCGTAGCACTATGGTGGGTACACCCTACTGGATGGCCCCAGAGGTCGTAACCCGGAAGGCCTATGGCCCTAAAGTGGACATCTGGTCCCTGGGCATCATGGCTATTGAAATGGTGGAGGGAGAACCGCCATACCTGAATGAGAACCCACTCAGGGTAAGACCTTACAGAGCTTTATAAAAGACACATTATAAATGTTCTTTTTAAAAAATGGCAATTAATCCTTAGCGCAGGAATTTCCTAAAACAATTTAAAGTACAGTAGTGAACTGTGTTGAGGTTGGTCTAAGTGTAAAGCATCTGAGCTGGTAACACAAATGAGTAAAACATTTAAAGTGCCCCTATTATGCTATTTTACAAGTTCCTAATTTTGTTTTAAAGGTCTCCTACAATAGGTTTACATGCATCCAAGGTCAAAAAACACTTAATTTTCTCATAATATACATTGCAGCATCAACTCTTTTCTCACAGTCTCTGAAACGCTTCGATCAAGGATTCAGTCTCTCTAAACCTCTCCTTTCTCAGAGCTTCCTCTGCTCTGATTGGTCAGATGGACCAGTCTGTTGTGATTGGTCTACCGCTTAGAGTACGTGTCGGAAACAAAACGTCCATTACCATATCTGAATTTTAGCTTCCTCGGCACTTGTATACACTGATGAGAACAGAAACAATGGTGTCAGTTTCACTGTATCAATATCCAGTGTGGATTTACACATCAGAAAACAGCATCTTTTCAACATGTCCACAACATGACACGTTACTACAACATGTCGCTGCTTAGCTACAACTACAGTGTTTGAGGGCGGGTCAAAGTAATAAGTAGACGTTGTTCACGGGCAGCCAATAAAGCCCATAGGCTGGCATTATGCACAGCATATTTATTACACACGGCATGAAGGGTAACATTCGAAAAAGCATAATAGAAAGTTGGGAGAAATAACATTAATGTCTGAACATTTCCTCTTTTGCTGTATTGTAACTTGGATTGGATATGCAGACTTTTCTATAATTGTTCCACTACATTAATGTTTTTCCCTTGTGGTAGGCCCTGTATTTAATTGCAACCAATGGAACTCCAGAGCTACAAAATCCTGAACGGCTATCCTCAGTGTTTCGAGACTTCCTGAACCGCTGTCTGGAGATGGATGTAGACCGGAGAGGGTCAGCAAAAGAATTGCTGCAGGTAACAAACTATGCTTCAGACATCTGTATTAAGTAATATCGTTTTTTTAACTACATTTGTACAGATTATGCATTACCTCATACTGCTCTATATTAGCACCTTAATAGGTATATAGAAATAGTTGTTCCTATAACCCCATTGTTACACTACAATTTCAACTGACAAGCTAAAACACCATCATCGTCAGCCAAAGTCCTAATATAAGACTGGTGAATTTTAGCAGGTTTGACTGTTAGTGGTTGTTTAGTGTTGCCTTCCACTGATTCCAACAAATGCACTATTAAATGAAAAGTCACTATTAAATGAATAATTTGGTAACACTTACAATAAGTATACAATAACAAAGCACATATACAGATGTGGTCTTTTTTAATGCAACTCTCAGATATCCTTAAAAGATGCAATAGATACAAAGTCTGGATTGGGATGAATCAGCCCAGCCTCAGGCTCAATCTAAGCTGGATTAGTGTTTTGGCTACTAATCTAACTCTCAGATATCCTTAAAAGATGCAATAGATAAAATGTCTGGTTTGGGATGAATCAGCCCAGCCTCAAGGCCCTTTCACACCGGACGCGTAACGAAAAAGCGAAACGGAAAAGCGAATAGTTCGCGTCAAAACCATTCACATCAGCCGCGACGCGAATTTGCGACGTTCAGAGCTTCAACATTCCAAAACTTTCGCGCCGACAGCTGAGAAAACACGGACACTTCATCATCATCATTATCATCATCCAGTGAAGACGAGCTTTTTGTTTTCTTTATAAAGACAGAAAAGACGGTTTTGTGTGCACCCAATCTTAAAGAACAGAGAGTCTGAAGGGGAGTATGCTAATCTTGTAAAGTAGCTAAAACTTTGCCACAAAGAACCGGCCAAAGTAAGGATTATCTATTAAACATTTGAATTGTTTATTAATAAAGTGTTTTCTGTCAGTTTTCCGTATGAGACGCGCTCCAGTTCACGCGCCGGCGCCTCCGTGTCCTAATTATATTGTCTACTATATTTGCTTCTTATTCCTATTAATCCAGGCAATTTGTTGATGAAACATTGATTAAAATTAAGATACAATTTATACAAAACGAAATTCACTTTAAAGAAAGGCTTTCCACAAAACAAAACTTAATAAGTGGTCAATTATGTCTGACCCATTCCAAATGTTTTCGATATATTGGGCATCTTACGATCCTTACTCATCTCATGCGGTTCCCTTTTCATATAGATCATCAACATAGATGAAATTTAAAAAATAGCATTATATTATTTAAACGTATATATGAAACGTATGTTTTTTAACTTATAGGCCTATTTAAGCGTCACCCCGCTCTGCTTTATTTACGCACATGCTCTGGTGTGTGGCCTATACATGCATGCAAAAATAATATGAAACACACAACCATGAATGTTGAAAATATTCCAAATCAATTATTTCCCTCCTAGTCAAAAATATTATAAATCATCAGCACGCACTTCATCAACTCGCTGGAGACACCAACTATCCCAGCTATTTTATCCCATGCCTCGTTCTTTTGCTGGTGAGATGTCATAAATGATAGGGTATGCGTGCGTTGAGATGCGGAATAGGCAATATAATAATGCTGTCATTCTAAAAGGTTTCTAGTTTCAATGTATTGCTTGTTTTTAGTTTACATTTCATGTTGTGACACTTCTCTTCTCTCGCACATAATGCTGCTACGTCAGAGCAACCAAAGCGTCAACAAGCTTCGCCTTTGTTTCCCTGTATGTGATTGGCTGAAGCCTTTTCTGTCGCCGCAAAAGTTAAAAAAAATCGACATCGAAGCGAAAAAAATAAAACTCGTTTTTTCGCCGCAGCACATTCGCGTTCGGTGTGGAAGCACTCATTACACAAACAGCTGATCAAAAAATAAAACTATCGCGCGAATTATTCGTGCGTCAAAATCGCGTCCAGTGTGAAAGGACCTTCAGGCTCAATCTAAGCTAATGAGTGTTTTGGCTACTAATATAGCTGCTTTAGACTGGCGAAACAGTGGTATGTGGAGGTGCTGGTGGTCGAAGAGAAGCGACTGATCTCTGGCAAACCTCAGCTCCCACTCGGATGTCCTGGCCTTTGCTGCTGGGAAAGCCGTGTAGAGTCACATCTGCTCTGATCAGCAAATCCTATATGGCATCCAGTCAAGCGTGTGTGGCTTTGCATACTATGGTGGCTTATCAAGCTTACGTTTTGAAGGAGATGGATGAGGGTTCTGGTTTAGCTGATGAGGCAGTTAAAGAGCTCAGGCGAGCTGCTGACTTGGCGCTGGTAGCTAACAATTGGGATCTCAAGTTCGAACCCAAGATTTGTTTGTTACGATCAATCTGAAGGTTGCATATTTTCATATTCAGATCATTCAGAGACACAGGCAGTTCCTTAGGTTTGCTTCGGGGGCAAAGCTTATCCATTTTTGGCTCTTCAGTTCGGACTGGCCTTGGCTCCGTGAAGTGTATGGATGCCACTCTGGCCCCGTTGAGGCTCCAGTGTGTGCGGGTTTTGAACTTCCTCAATGATTAGCTCATTTTGGTGTAGTCATGGGAGTTAGCAATTTGTCATTGCATCGGAATTTGGTTTTCAACCATTTTCAGAGTCTTGGGCTAAGACTAAAAACCTCAGAAGAGCATGCTGCTGCTTAGGCAGTAGACACTTGCAAATGTACTTAATCCATCTGCAATACTCTCTTACTACAAATCTAACTACAGTAGTCAACTTTTGAAGTGGATCAAAACCTTTCATCAAAGTTATACATGAATTTTGAACAATACTCTTAGGACAACTTTGATTAACTTTTTTGATCCACTTCAAATGTTGACTACTGTAATTCCAAGGTTTTAAAGGAATATATATAGACCAAAATGGATATAAAAAGTGAAGTTTCCTAAATGTATTCTTTCTCTTTCCAGCACTCATTCCTGAAGCTTGCCAAACCCCTCTCCAGTTTGAGTCCGCTGATTGTAGCTGCCAAGGAAGCCATCAAGAATAGCAGCCGCTAGGAACTTCCCCCTACACACACACACACACACACACACGCACACACACACACACACACACACACACACACACACACACATACATACACATTCATACGCACAGAGTGCAGGTACAGTGTGTTTATGTGTCATAGCACAATTACACAATATCTGAATCTGGACACAAACAATAACACAAGCACATGCTTGCACATGCACTTACCCTTATAAGGGTGATTGACAGCAATTCAAGGCCTTTGGGATGGGATTGGCCCCTGCTGCCTGCCCTCACACACAGACACAAAAGTTGTGATGTATGGAACTGCTGCACCAGTCCATCAGTGTGTGTTCACCTCTACACATCTGGAAAGGAGACAAACTGAAAAACAACTCCTGTGTTCCTTCTCTCTGAAATGAAAGATGATATGGATTACAGTAGACCTTTAAAATCATCCAATCTCTTATTTAATCTATTCTGTACTGTCTTGGATTACAAGCAACCTTCTTTGGGTTTTACAGTTTTTCCTGTGCCTGAAGAAGTGTACCTCCAAATCTCGGGATCTCCTCAAGACATCTGCATGACTGTCTACCACAGCTATTCACAGCAATCATTTCCTTTCTACACTGTGTGTGCGCAAAACAAGAGAGCACACGACAGTATGCTAGAGAGACAGAGAGAGAGCGCTTGAGAGCAAGAGACATATAAGAACAAAGATTAATCTCACAAAAAAACATGTCCAGGTCACATTTCATCCCAAAATAAAGAGGGGGGGGGGGGGAATTAAGATCTATTCTGCATAAATGAAATGATGCCTATTTTCAGGACTATTAATACTACGATTTCTGTATTAAGACATTTGAACAAAGTCTAAAAAAAAGTAAAAAAAAATTCCCCAAATGTCTTTTTATTGCTGAAATAAAATTTCATTACTGCATGATATTTACCTTTTAAAAAATTACCTCTTTTTTTTTTTTCAAATTAATGAGGATAATTTTTTCATTCTAGTAATAAGATTTATAAATACTAAGAGAAAGTTATTTTAATTTTAAAAAATGCGCACTTCATCTTTGATTGTTATGAAAATAATTTAACAATTCAATAAATCTTAATGGTTCCTTAAACAGGCTTCATTTTCTTTAAGCAAAATATAATTTCATATTTCTTTTGATTTTGGGGTTAAATGTAACCTGGACATGTTCTTGAAATGTTTCAAAATATTTACTCAAAGATTCGATATGTAAACTACTTTGCTACTGGATTAAACACAGATAACAAGCATTTGAAAGGAAAAGAGCATCCTCTCTCTCTCTCTCTCTTTTTGTCACTCTCTCAGAATGGATTCACAGACTGCATTTTCTTGTGCAATATTTCTGCCACAGAACCCAGCATTTAGGCATGAATACCACAACATATAGGTCTATACTATGCATTTTAAGAGAAAATGAAAAATGCTGAAAACCAAGCCATGAGGAGCCAAATGTAGAGCAGGCTAATGAGCTACTTCTTGGGCATTATATGAAATCCATGCTGGTGTTTTGACTCTGCTCATCACACATTATTAGAAAACATTCTGTACAATCTTTCAGAGAGCAGTGATTGGCTGAAAATATTTGCATGATGAAGGGCCATTCACATAAGACTCATTATTGTTTTTGGCCATGCGGCACACATTGGCGTCAGTCTTTGGCTTTGCTGTGTTGTCTTGCGACATGAGTGCCATGTTTTTAAGGCTCAAAGCTCTACGCAATTACGCGGACACTTCGAGCCACGCAAGCCCAATTCCAGTGTCCGAATGCACTTCATAATATAAAGCGAGTACACATTGCATTCTCATTGCCACAAGGAGTGCAATTTGAAGAGAATCTCACTGGGCAAATTGCATCTTATCTAGCCAGGTACTTAGAATAATAACATTCAGTTTGATGAAGGATATTTAAGGATAACTTTACTGCCTAGAAAACTGAGCTTTATAAAAGCAACAGTAACACAATAATGTATTGTATGTATTCAACATTCAGAATACACGTGGAGCATACATTCGCAATGTGTTGGCCAAGCATTCGCATCAGTGTTTGCATACTTGCGTAGAGAATGTTCTGCCCAAGACTGGGTTGCAAACAGTTCTACTCCATTCCATTGTGAACACTAGATCGCATCTTTTGTGAATGGTCCCTAAGGCCACCTGGTATTAAGATGCGTTTTGGTTGATCGGATCACAAGTGGACGACGGAAAGTACAGGTGTAAATAACGTTTTGAGCTTGTCCACTTTTGACCACTTCCAGAGGTAGTCGAAAACGCATTTGACCTGATTCCTTTCGTAGTGTAAACGCTCATGTGGTCGAATGTGTTCAAATAGCCACAAAAGACCATCTACTCTCCGCCTACTGATCTAATGTGTAAACATTATGGGAAGCACACTAGCCAGACGGGATTTAAGCTTTGTTGGCTGGAGACCCAAGTTTGGTTTGAAGACTAAAACGTACATGCCAAGCACAATGTTCTCTCAGCATTCCTGATTTCTAACACACACTCGCAGCGTTCAGCGTGATCTTGTGCCTGTCAGAGCAGAAACAAAAGCTGATGCTCTCCGTATGTTTTTCCGTCGTCTTCGGTGCGTTCATATGTAAATTGTGCTTACTTATTTTGGCCATTAGATCGCAAGATCTGAAAACATACATTTACCAGCCCATAGACCCTCCCCTCGGAGAAATCAGGACAGAAGTGGTTGAAAGTGGACAAAAGTGGATTAAAACACCAGGTGTAAAGAGGAACGTCTCCCTCTTCTACTTGTGATCTGATCGACCAAAACGCATCTTATAATACCCTAAACAGGGCATAAGAGAACAGTCTGTAAATCCAACCCAACCCCCTTCCCAACTGTTGGCGCTCTTTAGTTTTTAAGACTTTCTGGTTTGCAACAAACATCAATAGGGGTGCTATTTCTGATGCCTTTTTCAACTACGGTCACAAGTCAAAAATGTTTGATTTTTGCTGAGGTTATCTTAATTCTCCCTTGGTTGAAGAATATGGATTCAATACAGTACATGAGTAGAAGTCTTAAGTGTACGCCCTTGTAGTGGATGTAGGTGTCTGATAGATCATGTCAACTTGGTATCTTTCTTTACAAATGAGTGTTTGTGTGAGAGTTGTGCTATGTTTGTGCGTAGATAGGATAACCTCAGCCTGCTTTTAGTCCGTCTTTCAAATCACTGTGAAAATTCAGGATACTACACCTAGACTACCCTACCATAGACAGAAGGGTACTAGAGTAGATGTAGAACAGTAGTTAGCGACAACCATAGACATCTAAAGGCATGGGTAGCAATATCTATAGCGCTACTGCTTCAGTGTATGTCGCAATGGATGTCACAACCCAACCTACAGTGAGTATCAAAGCAGGTAAATGGGAGTGTGGTTTTATTGTAGGAACCAGTTTCATGCATGACATTACTGAATTACTTTCCTTCAGCTCTGATAACCTTTGATAAGTTAGCATTACAAAAGGTATTTTGAGGATGATATTTAATGTACATTGTTGTGTTTTATTCTTTGTTTTTTTTAATGAAAACCTTACGACAGGCTGCTCTTTGATATGTATTTGTAAATATTGTGCACCCTGGTTCCAAGAAATACAACAGATCAAATCGATGATGGACATGGTTGTGCAAATCCCACAGATAGCAGCATCTTGTGCCTGTCACGGAGACTACAGCCCCATTAACCAGGCTAACACGACCATCGTAAACACTCACCGAGCGACCTATACTGCAGCCTTCACCTATGTACTGGAGCAGATGTACAAGGAGAAACACACTCTCAAACACAATGCAAATTTATTTCTAGATTGTGGACTTCGCTATTAAAAGACCCTTCATATTTAATCAGGGCTCGGACCTGATGTGAACTAGGAGCACATGAAAACGTAAAAGGATGAAAAGCACCACGAATGTGGAAAGCGACTCACTCCAGGATTCCTCTCGTCTCTTGTAAATTCCCCTTTTCTTCTGAATGTGTGAACCCTGTACACGTGCTGTGACGAAATCCCTCTATTGGTGTCTAATATGAGAAAGAAACAAGACTGTACGTGCTTACAAACACAAATGTTTTCTTTTTAAATTATTATTCTGATTATGACATTTGAGAACTGCTGGACTCCTCTCAGCAAGCCCCTGCCCTGCTCTTTGAAACTAGGCTGGATGTGAGGCGTATGAGAGAGGGGGGAACTATTGTTTTGGATAAGCTATTTTAAATTGTGGTTGAAGCAATATACTTTTTGAATTCTAAATTGTGCATGGCTGTGTCTTGAGTGTAAAACAAAAAAGCTACAGTTTCGGAACTGGACTGAAATATAAAAAAATATATATATAATAAAAAAAAAAGGAAAAGTTTTGAACGGAATGCTGGTTTTTAGTCAAAATACACCAATCCAAAGCACAATACCTTCTATAGTTCCAGTGTAGCCTATGTTAGTCGGCTGCTGCCCTGTTACTTCATTCATGAATGTCTGCCAGTCATTTAACTTGAATTTTATTGATTTTGTACATTACTAAATATACTGTTAAAGTTGAAAGTCTGGACACGCATACTCATTCTTCTATATATTCTACATTTTAGAAGAACAGTAAAGCCATCAACTATAAAATAACATGTATAATGTGTGAGAAAACAAAGGCCTTCAATAATTGAAAAAAATCTAATCAAAATGGTCTTATTTTAACTTCAGATTTGTCTCCCTTTGTCAAGATCACAGTTCTATACAATCTGTTCCTTAACCAACAACACAAGATGTATCTGAGATGCTTTTAAACAATATTAAAGGTGCAGTAAGCGATTTCTGAGAACCACTGTTGATAATTGAAATCAAGCCAAACAAACAGACCCCTCCTTTCATTGCTCTGCCTTCAAATGCACAAACACTCAATCCAAGAGTGGATGTCTCATTATCATAGCTGAAGCGAAGCAATATAAAGCGAAGATGACAAACAAATACAATGAAGAACAACAAATGGACATACAGTACATGAGTATACACAAGAAAGAGCCTGTTGTTATTTGCCAGCCGCACAGCAGCTCCAGACTAACAGACACTCAAAACAGTCCTGTTACTAAAGCTAACATTACAGCCATTGATATATACAAAGATGCCTTATTACACCGTGTCTACACT